GTAGATAAGTAATAAAAGATAATTCGAATAAGTAAAGCGTTGAGGTTCGGTAATACAGCTACTCAAACAGTAATAAGAAGATTCAGTTTTTACAAGACATGTAAGAAATGTAGAATGTGAATAGACACATACATACTACCATGCAAACACATAAAACGTACTCAAGGTTACTTGTGAGTAATTGATAAAGGTAGTGAGCTGATATCTGACAACAGACCTGGTTGAACTCCATTGGTCACGACTTCTCACTAGAACTCCAAGAAATGCCTCTTGAAGTCAATCACTAGTGAGCAGATGATTATTATCAGAAAAGGTTTCGTGGAAATTGTAGTAATTTCAATAGTTGAAATCGTGATTCAATTTAAAGAGATTAGATAATGTTAAACAATATAAATTTGAGAGTTTTATATATTATTCTTTAGTTTTATTTTAGTAGTATATCATCTATGTATTTTCAGTATCATTTTAGTTAAGCTTAAAATACATATGAAAACCTTTTTTTAAATATTACCATTAGAATTGCCAATTCTAAATGACTTAACCAATATGTGATATCAAACTAACACTCTTAGCCTATTACTTAGTATGACAACATTAAGTCATGTCATTAAATGTTTGCAGATATATTTTTATATAATATCAAATTGATTGGTAGATATGGTATTTAGTTTTACCTTAATTTTTTGTATTTTACTGATTGATATCATGAGAAGGGGTTTCGTGGAGATTTTAGTAATTTCAGTAGTTGAAATCATCAGTCAATTGAAGCTAGATAACAATGGAAAACCTGGAAACACTGAACGGCCGTTTCGTCCTATTGTGAGGCTTCTTAGCAGTCCACATCCACGATTCCGCCCCCCGCAAACCCAAGACTTATTAGTCTCGAGTGCGAGCGCTTAACCATTAGACCACCGAGCCAGCCGGCATCAAACGGTGTTAATGTCTAACTTCAACTAATCCATGAAATTGTCTTCAGTGAGCCGATATCTCACAACAGACCTATTTGAACTCCACTAGTCACGACTTCTCACTAGAACTCCAAGAAATGCCTCTTGAAGTCAGTCACTAGTGAGTAGATGATTATTATTAGAAGGGGTTTTTGTGGAGATTTTAGTAATTTCAATAGTTAAAAGCATGGGGATTTCCATACTAGGATGAAATGACTGTCCAGTGTTTCCAGGTTCTCCATGGTGTTTTAGCTTCAATTGACTCATGATCAATATTAATTTATTTGTCAGTTGGTTTTTATTTATTTATTTCTTATTTATTTTGATCATTTATTTCTATTTTGAGGACAACTGTTGATGAATCACTCCAAAACTATTGGATAATATTTCTTTTCTTCATATTATTAATGTATGTATATTTATATTTGAATTGTCCTAAAATGATGATAATTATGCTGATATTTCGCTTACCGGTGGTAAGGCATAGAAAGATATTATAGCCAAACATGAACATCCTGCAATAGTTTTGCCCAAACCAGATTGTGGTACGCTATCACCATAACCTACAGTACATAATGTTATCTAATTTATGTATTTAAAGTAAGGAGAAAGGGAGAGTAAAAAGATGTATACATACATATATATATACATATAGATTAACAAATATAAATCTATATTACAGTTTTTTTTCATTTAATCGTTTATAAAGGAAGCAATGTAAATGACCAATAAAATTATAAAAAAAATTCAATTATTTCATATATTCAGTAAAAAGTGCTGACGAATGAAATATTGTACAAGATTGTATTGATCAGCAAACTATAATTGTTAACTATTGTAAAAGAAGATCAATTCACCATGTTTATATTATATAATTCATATAATTTCTATCATTACTAGTATTACGTAACATGTTAGTTTAATTTAAGAGGATTTCTATTTCAATAGTGTCATTTGTTAATTATAGAATATAGAATTTCTTATGAAAATCAATATGTATTATGTTTTCTTTTCTATACAACTACATAATAATGAGGATAAAATGTCAATTTGTTTTTATTTTAAACTTACCTCGCTCTTTTATTGTTTGTTTGTTTGTTAACAATATGAATTAATTAATATAAATAAAAGAAAAATATAAGCAAAGATGAGTATTGGCTAGCAGTGGTATTCAGGACGCGCGTTTCGTCCTAATTGGGACTAGTCAGCCGGGTGAACCTGCATCTCAGAGTTGATGTTTACTCTAGGACTCAAACCCAGTAATGTTCGCTTTAAACGCCATCGCGTTATCCACTTAGCTACTGATTCCTGATAGCCACTTGCTTGTGTAATAGAATAAAGTTCAAATGCACTTGGTATTATTTACTTGAATCTTCCCATTGATGTTTAACACTGCAATCGATCAGACTCTTATTGGTATATGGGCATGCTATGCGTATTGCCTCGATATTGCCTTAATTTACAATGGCGTTTGAAGCAACCGGTACTGGGTTCGAGTCCCAGAGTGAACATCAACTCTGAGATGCAGGTACCTTCAGACAACGAGTCCCAAATAGGACGAAACGCGCGTCCTGGATTCCACTGCTAGCCATTATACATTTTTGCTTATAATGCTTGTAAATTAAGGCAATATCGAGGCAATACGCATAGTATGCACATATGTCAATAAGAGATTGATCAATTTCAGTGAAGATTGAAGTAAACAATATCAAGTGAATTACAAGAAAAATATATTCAAACATATTGATTGGATATACATTTTATTTATTTGGATGTCAAATCTTACATAGTTTACTTTAACCAGTAATGTTATGGGAATGAAATAAATTATTATATCTGATTAATTATCATAAACAGTTCTAGTACACATTTAAACGAATATTTAAAAGTATATGTGAGATTTAAAAAAGAAATTTATTTGTGGTAGTTATAACATTTTAGTGTAATTGTATATCATTTTATTGTGTACTATTGATGTCGACAGATATAAGTAGTTGGGTAGGAGCAATCGAAAGAGAAATACCTGGAGGCAGAAGATCAAAGAAAAGAGAACGAGAACAGTAAATGATTGGTGTGAAAATGAAGAAATAATCAAGCCAGAAACGATTGATTAACATTTTGCAAATGAAGAATTTGGTTTATGGTTCTCCGATTTTACTAAGATATTCTGTCATTGTGTATTCAAATACATTTGACTGTTTCCACTTGTGTTCTTGTTCGCAGTATTTTATTTCTCTCAAAACTAAATAATCTAAAGAGATTGCAAAAATTCACCTGCTTATTTCTGGCATCAAGCAGATAAATCATTTAGATTAATCTCAATGATAATGGTTTAGGAATGAATTATAAGGTTGTAACTAACTTTTATTCGCTAACATAGTGAATGTAGCAAACTAAACTGGAATATAATCCAGAATCAGTTGTTTTTTTGAACTACTCATTGAGAAATTTCATAAAATTGTTGAATATGTTCACATTATGAACATGTTTCATTGATTATTATGGAAATTTTCATCAAATTACAGTTACATTGATGTTTGTTTGTACATTTCTATGAAGATCTAACTAGTTGAACACTTTGAATTTCATTAGAAAGCGCTGAACTGGATCAGAATAAATCTATCGCATGAGTAATAATGAAAGCAAGTATTCTTTTGTAGGAATATGCTATATCCTCACGAGAATTATGAATGGCAACTTTTGGGAACTATTTACGGACCAATACGATACATATATTTTTATTGTATAATTGTTAAGTATCTAAACTATTCATATTCATGTTCCAATTATCATAAGTTTCATTTTGACCCATGAACTATTACCGTTCTTTGGTTACGTCCAGTCTACTAATTACAGTCTCTCACATTCACAGCCACTTTTAGCTAGATCTTATGCAAATGTTGTTTCCTATTTTGTGATACGATGTGGTCTGTTTGGTATGTATATAAACCCAGTGTATCTTAAATACATGATTCATATCGCAGAGGCTCAGATTGGTGTTCTGAACTCAACTGGCAAGATATGCAGGAAGAAGGACTTATAAGGACTCTAGACTATTCGTACGAGTTTACGCGTCGTTGGTCCGGTTGATAAATCACTGTTCTCTACATTGGTAATATCATTACGTTATATATTAATAGCGTATAAGGCCATAAGTTATAACGGTATATTTTATCTATAAAATAGTTTAATGAGTATTTCAACAAAAACAATAGAGGTTGTTTATTATTTATCAAGATGGATTTGATCATTTACTAATATGAATTTTCTTAAAGTTACTCAGCTAATAAGGAATGCTTAACGTATACCAATCGTATATATTTGTTACCAAAGGTGTTTGCCAATTACAACAAACGATTATTTTAAATTGAATGTATCAATGATTGCATTATCATCTTTGTTCATTACAAGAAGTTAATTATCATAATTATCCAGGAAGTTTATACTTCATTGACATTTTAATAAAATCATACATCAGCCAATCATTGAAATGAAAAGGTTATATATATATATCAACAGTATATGTATTCGTCATCGAATGTTTCTTGAATCTCATATAGATCATTGAATATCATTCATTGAAGTAATCATCAAACCTACTTTTCGATTTATTTTATCCAAATCTTGAATAACATATAGTTTTTCTAACTCAACTCTTTATAACACTTCAGAATTATGTTACCACTTAATGATTAATAAATGAATATTGATTAGACTGCTGAAATTTATGTTTGTTTGTTTGTTGTTTTGTTTGCTTTTTCTTTTTCAAAATAAAAATTATGCAATAAAGCAGTTAAACTCTCTTATTTCAAACATCATAAACTTATTATCCATTAAGTGGAACTATAATTATAATGAAGGAAAAAGAAACAAAACAAAAAATCGATGATAATTAAAACTAGAAACATGAAAGTTATTTTAAATAAAGAAATAACTAATCAAGTAACTAAGTAACTGAATGTAATGAAAAGTCAAATATATATACATGATTAACTATTTTAATAAAAAATAAAAAAATAAATGATTATATAAATAAAGAAATGATTTACTTACTACACCCCACCATAATGCATCTGCATATGTACGAATTTTTTCATTTTCTTTCTTTTCAACTAAAAATATCAAGAATGAACTGAATAGAAGACCTAAAAATCCAATATACACCGTTGTGAACAATTCCTAAATAAGGAAAAATAAATAAATAAATAATAATAAAATACACAATGAAAAGACCAAAGAGAAAAAAAACAAAGAAGATTAAATATAATCGAATGACGTAATATCGTAGATAAGTTATGAAATATAGAAACAAACAAAAAATAACAGAAATTTATTCGATAAGTAAATAAAATCGGGAAAGAAAAACAACAATAGGGACAATAACAATCATATTAGTTATAATAAACACAGATATGATCGATTATTTTCGTATAATACAGAGGGATATCAGTATAGATTGAACTGTACATGATATATATATATATATATATTACCATTGTTATTTAGAGCTTTGTTTATATTTTATTGGCTTTTGTTTTAAAACAAAGTTAAAATCAAACTTATGGGTTCTATATGCCTCTTTGTTTTGCTTATTATGCATGCGAAAAAAATAAATGGAAGAATAAATGGGAAGATTATTAACAAAATTAAAACCAAACAAAAATTATCGATAATTATTCCATCACATGATTTCGTTGGGATTTATTTGATTGAATCATAGACTGATGTTATCTGTAGAATTGTTATTTAGAATGATTATTATTTTCACTAGCGTCACCGCCTTTCCGTCTCAGTTTATCTGAGATGAAGTAATTATCTGTTATACTATATTCATGAAATAATGCATCACGAATATATATCGCAAGATTATCATGCATAAACGTCTATATAAATTAGTTTGTAACTAGTTTTAATCAATCAATTACGCATTTTTATGCCATAGACTGGAGCGAATGCAATAATATATGAGGAGAGAACATATTTTTAAAAATCGAACTGTATACCATGAGGTTTTCTAATGATAAACCAATGAAATTGAAGTGTAATGCATTTCTGTGTGCAGAAAAGCAACCTATTCTTGAGTATTAATTTTTTTTACTGATATTCGACTTAAACTGCATAGAGTGTTTTTGTTTTATTTTTATTACAAATTCTCAAAACGGAAGTTTGTGGAGATTGTAATAACTGTAATCGTAGAATTCATAAATTGGTGTCAGCCAGACGACCATTGAAAAATTTGGACGCACTGTATGGCCATCTCGTCCTAATATGGCACTCCTCAGAAGTGCGCATCCACGATCCTGAGCATGGGACTCGAACCCAGAAACTTCGGTCTTGCTCATGAACGCTTAACCTGTAGACCACTAAGCCGGTATTCAACAGTGTTAGTATGTAATTCGTTTATAGCGTAAAATCTGTCTTTAACATATGAAAGAATGATTTTTCATAAATTTCATCTCTTTACTTCTTTGATAGTCATTATCAAGAACTATGTGCAAAGGTTTTGTGACCAATAATGTTTACATGAAGGTTCAAATATTTTTACAGCACTGATATTTTAAACAGCACTAGTGCGCAACAAGAATGACTTAGTAATTATGCATCGTTTATTAACTCGTCATGGATTAACTCTAACAGTATATCTTATCAATAGGTTTACAATAACTGACTAATATTGTAGTTAATAAAGTCATATTACGTAGGCTTTAGGTCTAAATGTTGCAATATGGTAACTAGTTTGGGTTATTTATCATCAGAGCTCATGCACTTTTATAATTTGTCCTTGGGGGAGGGGAACCGGTTGGAAATGTCGCACGTAGGTTCATTGCTACTTGGGACTCATCAGTAAAAGCTTGGACTCAAATGAGAAGTAGGCTCTTTTATAATTCCTTTAGGATCTAGTTGAAAATCATTATATCTAGCCCCATTGACACATGTTTGTTTTGAGTGTTACTCATACTGAAAATTTTCTATGTGTAATCGAGACATAATCCAGCGTAAAAGTTGCATTCAAAGTCCCATGTAAAATTTTTCATTTTACTTTATGATTAATCCGAAACTCTCAAATAATCATCACTAATTACATGTAGAATTGTCATAGTGACTAATAGATGATCGATGCAGAATAACTGATCAATACGGACCATTTGGCTGATATGGGTTCTTTGAGTTAGGACACCTTTAAGTGATCTGTAGTACAACTGAGTGAATTATAGAAAAAGATGGTCAGGTGCAAACCTGAAGTTAAATAGTGAAGACTAACAAGTGAAACTGAATAAATTTACCTATCTGAAGTTGCTTTGATAATAATGAAATGTCCGGATAATTCATATCAATTTTGAGATAGTGAAAAGGCAATTTAATTTTATTCGTAATGACTTATTGATACATCTATCCAAAATCATTAGACGAGATCATGTTTTTAAATAATAATATAAATACTTTTACTTACTTGTCTATGTGCCCATACAACAGATGCTAATAATTTAAATGATCCGCCTCTGCGATCCATTCGTATCATACGTAAAATTTGAAAAAATCTCAATCCTCTTAGTGCACTTGCTGCAAACATATTCCTGTCACTGTCTACAGCAAGAACGACTACACTGGCGACAATAACAATGACATCTGTTAAAGATTAATTAAAAAAGATTTCTCATCATTATTATGAAAAGAATAAAAATAAAATGTACTTCGTTTATTTTCGTATTTTACCAAACACTATACGGTTGTTAATGAAGGTATGTTTATATGTATCACACGGATATACATTCAGATGATTGGATCTATTGACTCATTACACTAAGGTGATAGCTAATTCTAATGGAACGGTGAAAACAGTTATATTGACATGTATTAGTCTCTAAAGCTATGTTTGTTTATTTCCACAAAAGGTCAACCAAAAATTATTTTATAGAATATGTAGTTTACAGACCTGACTGGTCATTAAAGGTCAAATAGAATTAAACAGCGTTTAATTCCAGCTTGGAATTTCTGTAGAACGCGTCCAGATGTTACCTCTTTGGATTATACCATGAGACATAACACCTCTCGATGTGCGTTTTAACTGTAGAAATCTGTATACAAATCGAACGAAAGATAGTATCGACTTTAATTAACCACACTGGTCAGAATTTCAAAAATTCTTCTGGAATCTTTTAATTAAAGTCTGTATGATGATTAATAGGACAGGAAGTTTACAGAGTTTATTCAATTAGCTAAATGTTTTATAAATGGGAGGAATAAACATATGTCAATCTTATTATTTCCCCTTTCGTTTATTAAAGAGCTTAGATTGTACTTTCTTAAAAGTTGCATAATTCAGAATTGTTAAACTGTTATTTTCATCAAAACATGTATTAGTATACAATCAATAAATTTTCGTGCCAACCTACTTTATGTTACACAAGATTAGAGATATGGAAAGAAATTATAGATGATTTATGAATTATAAATAATTTATCCATATATATATATATATATATATATATGACTGAGGGAATTGAATCATAAAACGGAAACAAATTTATGAAAACATATTTGAGTTTGTTCGTTTTGAAACCTAATTTTATCTATATAAACAAAGAAATATAGAGGCTAGCAGTGGAATCAAGAACGCGTGTTCCACCCTATTTAGGACTCGTCAGCTGGATATACCTGCATTTCAAAATTGATGGACACTCTGAGACTGGAATCCAGTATCGTTCGCTTCAAACGCCATCGCATTATTCACGTAGCTACTGAATCCTAGATACTAGGAGCACGGCACTGGGTTTGAATTCCAGAGTCCCAAATAGGACGAAGCACGCGTTCTTGATTTCACTGCTAGCCACTATTCATTTTTGCTTAAAAAGCTTGTGACCTAAGGATATATCGAGGCAGCTCGCACAGGATGCACATATGTCAACATGAGACTGATCAATCGCAGTCCTAAACAGCAATGGCAAGATACATGTAAAACAACACCAAGTGAATATTAATTTTATCTATGCTACGACATTAAAAATTTGAACATCAGGTAACTCAAAGAGTTTATATTTATAGAGTGAATAGCTGATAAAAGTATAACTTCTAAATTATTTGTCCACAATATTAGATGTAGATCTGTTTGATTAAAAATTTTAATCGTTTAGATATACATACGCATAATCATCATAAGCATAACACTTGTATGTATGTGCGCTATCTGTGATTTTACGTGGAATGAATATAATTCTATTTTCTTTTTTTTTTTTCTTCCGAATTTTTTTGATTGGTGACAATTTATTCGGCAAAAAAACTTTTGAGAGTCCATTTTATTAAAGAAATACCTTTTAAATATTATTTATTAAATATTTAAAGGAAGATTCGTATGTTATTACAAATGATTCTTTTTTCTAAAAAAGACTTTCATTCATTTAAACCATGATTAAATTTTATTGAACTAAATACAAACTTGAGTAGTGACTTCGGTTTAACACCAATTGTTAGGTCAGTATAGAGTCGTGGAGATTATTAAGTTTTTGATTGAGATCATGAACCGATCAATGTTAGACCACCATTGAAAACCTGGAAACATTGGACAGCCGTGTCATCCTATTGTGGGACTCCTTAATAGTGTGCATCCACGATTTCGCCCCTCCACCCGAGACTCGAACCCAGGACCCATCATTCTTGTACGCGAGCGCTTAACCACTAGACCACTGAGCCGGCATCCATTGGTTTTAATGTCTAACTCCTAATAATCCAGGAAATTCAGCGACACATTCATCATTGTCATCAGTGAGTTACTATCACATAACACACCCGGCTTAACTCTACAGGTATCCACCTCAGTAAAATGGAAGATGGTCGCACAATTTCGTGGATTGGTGTATGTTAGACACCAACACCATTGGATGCTGGCTCCGTGGTCTAGAGGTTGTGTCCTCACATGAGACTGATGGCCCTGGGCTCGAATCCCGCGAGCGAGATCGTGGATGCTCACCGCTGAGGAGTCCCACAATAGGATGAAACAGCTATCCAGAGTTTTCAGGTTTTCAATGGTGGTCTAACACAAATCGGTTCATGATCTCAATCAATAATTAGGTTAACTAGCTTGTGAGTTGAAATCCTAACATTTAGATAAATTAGTAAATAAAACGATGATGTTTATAAGAATCTTCATAAATATAGTTAGAGTTCAACATATCTTATAGTTTAGAATAATCAATAACGATATAACTTACCTACAATACAAAATGGTCTTCTTGCAAAATGTAACCTTCCACGCCATGTTTGATATCTGGATCGGCAACCAGCACTCCATAAACGTAGGCAATATTCGGCAAAAAACCAAAAGAGTATTACAAGTTCCTTAATAAATAAATTGTATATAAGAAAATATTTTTCAACTTTATGTATGTAAATGAAAGAAAAAAATAATTGCATCACAATCACTTTTATTCGACAATCACAACAATGTCAGAAGGGATCGTGGATGCGCACTGCTGAGGAGTCCCCAACTGGGACGAAACGGACGTCCAGTGCTTCCAGGTTTTCAATGGTAATCTAGCTTCAATTAACTCATGATTTCAATTATTAAAATCACAACAATATTAACAAACATATAAGGAATGTTGATTACATTTTAAGTAAACATATCACTAAATAAACTGTTAATCTCACATATCATTCTTAAGAGTATGGTAAAAATATAATAAGCCACATATTTTGAATCAACCAGCGTCATTGATAACAGGGTAAACAAACAGCATGAAACTCATTTATTTAACATTATTAATTTACTAGTTGAATTCATGAGTGAACTAACGCTAGACCACCATTAAAAACCTGGAAACCCTGGACGGCTATTTCGTCCTAGTATGAGATTCCTTAGCAATGCGCATCCACGATCTCACCTCGCAAGATTCGAACTCAAGACTTATCAGTCTCGCGTGGAAACGCTTAATATTATCAGTTAATACCTAAAACTTAATACATAATGGACTTTTGAAAGTTTAAATATTAAAACAAATCTTTTTATTATCAATCTATCTAACTAATTAATGAATTAATTATATAGATTACCTATATAGGATATTCACATTCAGTCATATAATAAATAGAACTTATTGAGTAGTTAAAACATTAGTACAAGACTATGAAAATAGTTGATGTACATTTTCATTATGTCATCAATAGAGATTCATATTGAAATTACTGCATCATATATGGATATGTTTATATACATATAAAAGAAAATATTATATAGAATTATATGTATATAATTAGGTTTACCCCATTTATGTCATAACTAATTATTTTAATGTAATTAAATCATAAATAAATTATATTAATCAAAGAATAAATTCAATTTCTGAAGATGATATTTATAATGAAGTAAATAAGATTAATATAACGGAATGATTATTCTATAGAGGATAATTTGTATGTCATACATCATACATATTCAATGTTTTATATATCCATTAAACTAATATTTATTATATATACATTAATATAATAAAAGCCATTTGGATCTAATTTAAAAATATAAACAACAAAATGATAATATATGATGAAACTGCTAGATTGACGGACTAGATGTATTAAAGTTATAATAATAATAGTAATGATAGATAAATTAGATTTGGGTAAATAAATATTTAATATTGAATGCAAAGTCTAAAAACAACTTTTTTTAAAAAAAAGGTAACTTGAAAACTATGTTGCTAATCAAAGAACTATTGATTTCGTCTTCTAATAATTTAGCGTTTGCAATTAGGGTTATCTAATATTGATGATCATATGAATGATATAACTGTGTTACAAGACATGACCTCACATGGATTCCTCAAGGCCAAAGAAATAGAGGAAGACCAAAGAATACATTACTCCGGGAAATGGAGATAGATATGAGAAAAATGAACAAGAAATGGATAGAATTAGAAAAGAAGGCTCAGGACAGAGTGAGTTGGAGAATGCTGGTCGGCCATTAGGACTAACAGGCGTAAGTAAGTAAATATAAATGATGTAAATGCTTTTGCTTATGATCACTATATCAAGGAATTTCCTATTGAATATTTCTTAGGTTAAACGCTTAGAAATGAATCATGGGTAATTGATAACATGGTGATCTGCTCAAATATTTGAACCAACGTTATTCCAAGGTGAATTTATTATCATATATCTTCCTGGTTCAGATGTTTCCTAATTAGCAATTATCTTTAAATAATATATACTTATCATTTTTCATAGATTGAATAAATCTATAGTGAATCCTGCTATTAAGAAACTAAATAAATACCATCATAGTGATTTGCCTATTTTCTTTAACTGTAATCAAGTATGTGGTAATGAATAAAAAGAGTAGTATATTTAATATTTTTAAAATAGTTACATCACAAACTTATTTCTCACTTCACATAGATTCCATATTATGTAATAATAGAAATAATATATTTTTAAACACCTAGTGATTACAAATTAGATTTTTGATGTTCCTTGATCTAGTGTATTATTATATTAATTTAATTTGTTATTTATTATTATTATCCCTGAAGAAGCGACTTATACTAAGTTACGAAACTTTAAAAGCCTAATTTCTGCTTATTTGGTCTTCATAAACGTATTATACTTACTATAACAATTTACCTAAAATTATTTAGTTAAACCTTGTTATTGATGCTTACATATCATGTAATGGAAAAGGCTGGATAAATTTTGAAAACCAAATAGTTTCTATGTTCAGGAATATGAAATTTTGTGTTACGTGTTAGTCGTGATATTTTTTTGCAAATTATTCAATGAAGACAAGCCTTGATTTCAATAGTTGAGATCATGAGTTAATTGAAGCTAGACCACCATAGAAAACCTGGAAGCACTGGACGGCTGTTTTGTCCATTGTGTGACTCCACATGAAAGCGCATCTACGACCTCGCAACGCAGGATTCGAACCCAGGACTGGTGAAGTTCAACCTGGTCAAATGTGAGATATTAGCTTATTGGAGACAATCGTGCACGTATGGCGCAATTTTGTGGATTGGTTGAAGTTAGACAGTTTGCACTAAATGGGCCAGTATCGAGCTGTTCACTGTTTTCACCAGACCTTTGCTTAGTCACAGTGAGAGGTGTTCGCCACCACGAAAATGTAAATTCCTAGAACTTCAACCTATATGACTTTTTCCACAGGAGAATCGAGCTGATAAATACAAAGTGAGATGGTCATTCTAAGTAATTTATCTTTTAGCCTCGGTGTCACCATTGAGCACGCAGAAATTACTAATCGTAGTTCTCCAGCGTTGAAAGATTTTTGGGTTATTCTGCCGAATTCATGAGTTAATATTTTGCTATCCACATCCCCTCTGAATTGTAGGGGCACGAACAGGAATTTCTTATTCATCGCTTGTATTTCACCTATACTCACCTTCGTGATTATATATTTAATTACAAACTTTCTAGGGTGTCCGTTGACTTTAAGAGTATTACACACGATGTTTAGCTCATCTTCAACTATTCCACTAGAACATTTAGTGCGTATTCAGTAACAAAGTATTTTGATCACGTTTCTTTTGTACTGTAAAGTTACAAAAGTAAGGAAATGTGTGTACTACTCTGTCCAAGTATTTTTTCTGTTAAAGTTTTTTTAATGGTCCACCAGCTCTCTTAGTTAGGAGAACATCCAAAAAGGCTATTCTAACATCACTCTCTTCATCAGATATATACTCAATGGCTGTATGCACTCTATTAAATTGCCTATGAGCCTCTTGTTGTGATGCATTATTGTTACAGAGGATGGATGTATCATCCATATATCCACAGTAAAATGTGAATATTTGAAGAATCTTTTTGAGTGGACCATTTGTTTAAATTCAGCCCAAATTTGAGGGTGATGATGATTATTATTACTTGCAATAATTAATAAATAAATATTTCATAGATTAACTTCATATAAAAAAATTCATGATAGAGAATTTCTGTGTCGTGATTACAAATGTTGGACAAATACATAACTAATCAGTTCATGGCGGTATTGTTTTCTTGTATCTTCCGATTCTTGTTTTGGACGGTATTTTATCAGTCTCTTGTTCACATATATTTATCCTGTGCAAACTGCATGAAGTCACAAACTTGATGAGTAAAGATGGATAGTGGCTAACAGTGAAATCAAGGGCGCATGTTTCTTCCTATTTGGGACTCGTCATCTGGATGTGCCTGCATCTCAGAGTTGATGGTAACTCTGGAACTGGAACCCAAAACTGTTCGTTTTAAATACAATTGTGTTATCCACTTAGCTAGTGAGTTCCAACAACTCATGTTTTCAAGCATTTTTTTCACTTATTGTCGCAATATATACCCGATTACCTTTGATAAATAGAAATAAACTCATTTTTATTAGAATAAATAACCCAATCCCCAACTAAATATAGAAAGACAATTTTCTATCTAAATTGTTCAATAAATGTCAACATCTAAAACTGCTAAGAAGAAATGTTGAAAAACAGGTTTTCCAGTAACAATCAAATGTAATAAGTAGAATGAATAGTCGACAAACCGTATAAAATTCTAACAAAACACAAGAAAATACTATTTACACAACTTATAGTCGAAGTTAGAATTTTTCTTTTATTACGTTATCTATCAGATGCTCTATTTCTTACAGTCTGTGGTCGTAGTTAATAATCATTTACACATTGTTGCCTTATAATTTCCATTATTGATTATTAAATGATTTTGGAAAACGTCATAGTATGGGACTCCTCAGCAGTACGCATCGAAGATCCCGCCCCCCACTCGAGATTTGAACTCAGGACCTATAAGTTTCGCGCGCGATCGCTTAGCCATTAGATCACTGAGCCGGCATCTAACTGTGTTAATGTCTAACTTTAACCAATCCACAAAACTGTGCCACCGTCACCATTGTCTTCGTGAATATGCAATGCTGAGGAGTTCCATACTAGGATGAAACGGCCGTCTAGTGATTCCAGGTTTTCCATGGTGGTCTAGCTTCAATTGACTCATTATTTCAAGCATCGAAATTGTTATATCTTGTGACCAACCGATTAGAGAGCAGTGAATTATCGATCGAAACAATGACGCATAAAACACGTGCGAGCAGCCTAGAGTCCTGATTGGCTCTGCTTTCTGTCTAGCCCAGCCAGTTGGGTCCAGAACACAAATCTCAGTCTCGGCGATATGAATTATTCATTTCAAACATACTCGATTTATATATCAACCAGACAGACCACAATGTACCAATAAAATATAAAACAACATTTGTACAAAAATTAACCAGATGTGGCTGTGAATGAGGGAGGTAGTGATTAATGTACTTGGGTATAACTCAAGAATGGTAAAACGTAGGATAATAGTTTATGGGTCAAAATAAAGCTTATAATTAAGAGGTATATGAATATACATAGTTTAGTTACTTAATAATTATACAATAGAAATATACGTTTAGTATTGATCCGTAAATGGATTCCAAGAATTACCATTCACTATTCTTATCGGGATATAACAGAAATTACTAAAATCTCCACAAAACCCCTTCTGAAAATTTTTATTATTGATTAATAGAGTTTATTTACAACTTAGGTCATTTATATTTTTAATAATATTTTTTTCAAAGTGAAATCTGTATTTCTATCATCAAACTTATAAGCATCTCTTTATGTAACTAATATTATTTAAACCTTTTAATGTATCCTAATAAGTTTAAATTAAACTCTAATCGGTAAAATAAACATTCTTGTCTTATATTTAATGTCTATACCTAGATATTCTCTTAAAGATGAGATCATATATTACTGTAACCGTAAAGGTTTATATATTATATAATATACTCGTATAAATTTTATTAATAAATCAATAGTTATGTATAATCTGTTATCATTTACTAATATCATATACATATTATACATCTATCATAAGGAACAGTTACGATGATTTGTCTACTGATCGATATAAACAAATGTGGTAAATGAATACAAATAATTAATATTTTCTCTCGGTTGATTTACATTTTCCTATTTTAGTGATAAATAAATAAATAAAAGTACTATTTTTTATTTATTAAATCAATGAATAGTTTTGTTTTTTTTCATATTAATGCATATGTATACGTGTATATATATATATATATATATATATATATATATATATATATATATATATATATATATATATATATATGCTCCAATGAGTATATTCCTGTTTGCCTCTACATATAATTTTCTCAATTAAATAAATAATTGAATTCATGAGTCAATTGAAGCTAGACCAATATGTAAAACGTGGAAACATTGAATGGCCGTTTCATTCTAGGATAGGACTGTGTCTGGTATGAGACAGTAACTCACTGATGACAGTGGTGGAAGGTGGTGCAAGTTCGTGGATAGGTTGAAGTTGAACATTAACACAGTTAGATGCCGGTTGGCTCAGTGGTGTAAAGGTTAAACTATTGTGCGCGAAACTGACAGGTCCTGGGTTTGAATCTCGCGAGGTGGGATCGTGGATGCTTACCGTTGAAGTGTCTTATACCAAGACGAAACGGCCGTCCAGTGCTTATAGGTTTTTCATGTTGACCTAGCTTCAACTGATTCATGAATTCAATTATCACAGTTACTACAATCTCCACAAAACCTCTCTCTGATTATAATCAGTTAAATTATCTAAATGTTTTGCTCTAACCATGTTTTATCCTTGACCATGGATTTTTTTCATTCAATTAAGTATTATTTATTCAATTATTTTACTACCAATTATTGAAAGAATTAATTTTCTTTACACATATATTTTTGGATCTTTTATTGAAGTTAATTATAGAAGTTTGTAATAATTCACTGTGATTTACTTCAAAATCATAGAGATACACTGTTTAGTTCTTTAATATACTGATTGATGAATTAGTTATAAATAATTGAATTCAATTGTTCTCTATCCCAATCTCCAAAGTTTGGGGAAATTTCGGGGAAACTTCCAAAGTCAGATGACCTTCACCAATGTTTGGAAGAATTTTGTGGAAAAATCACAAATTTAGGTGAATTTCGGGGAAACTTTGGAGATTTCCCCACAGCCAAATGACCATCACCAAGGTTAAAGGAAACTTTTGGGGAAATAGTGGGGTTATGGTGCTATTTCCCCTAAATTTCCCCAAAATGGGTCAAATTTTCTCTAAAATTGAGAGATCGGGATTTGTTTACATAATTTAAGTTTGTTCAATAATTTAAAGTTTTATTGGTTAACATTTGTAAAAATTGTGGTGGATAAATTTTTTGAGTTGTGCATTTTTTCTTAAAAAAAAGGGTGGCGGGTTTAAAATTTATGGACGAGCTTATCAGGTATAAGATAACAGTTCTCGGATTTTGGCGCGGAATTCATTCATCCATTTGGCCAAATTGAGTTTTGACATTATAGCTGATGAAAATCCTAAATCTAATTTTCAACTTTAATTATTAACTGTAAATCATAATTCTAATTCCTCATACTGGTTTATAACCCTCATTTGATCCTAGTTATAAGGTGAACAGTCTCAAGGCCACTTTAGCGTCTCTCAAAAGTCGTCCATAAATTATAGTCTCACTAAACGGGTTTTTGAAAATATTAGTTCAAAAGTGTAAATTGATTTATATGCTGTTGATTGTTGTCCATGCTTGTGAATTATGAGGATAAAATATGGAAAATTTCAATCTAATTAGCAAATATATTTTTAATCTCCTTTCATATGATTCTTAATAGTGTGAAGAAATAATGTGATAAATATTGTGTAGGATGGTTTATTTATTACAAACTGACAAATGTACATTAAGATTTATTAAATTACTGTTTTTTCCTAAACAGGGACACATGGAGCTTATTATCTATGTATTCATTTACCTTATAATATAAAATGATTCTAAGCTAATGTCAAAAAAGAGTTCTTAAGAGAATTTGTCATACTACTTACTAGGAAAGCAGAAGATTCAGAGTTTGATTTAATGATAAGTAATTTCAAGAACTATTACAAAATCCTACATTTAAAAAAACCAAGTTATTCAGCTCATTCTGGTACTTAACAATTTTGAAGCTGCAGTCATTTTACAACATGATTCTACTTCTCAATAGTATTAATATTCACAAAATTAACTTTAATTATCTTCTAACTTGTAAACACAAAGCTACCCAGATTAAGTTGACTAATATTCCTTCGTTTCCATATAAATCGTTCTACTCTTCTTCAGTCTGACTTCAGATATTTTCCTATATTTTCAGCTAAATAAGTTCTAGTGAGAAGGTGTGACTAGTGGAGTCCAATGCGTATCGGGTGGAAACAGTTACCCACTTCAGACAATGAATCGGAGGTTGTGCAAGATCATAGATCGATTAAAGTTAGACATTAACATCATTGGACGGAGGCTCAATGGTCTAGAGGTTATGCATTCAAGGGTCCTTGGTTCGAGTCGCGCGTGCCAGATAGTGCATAAGCACTGTTGAGAAGTCCCTTGTTAGGATGAAACTGTCGTCCAGCGCTTTCACATTTTCAATGGTGGTCTAACTCAGATCGACTCATGAATTCAACTATTACATTTAGTACAATCTCCACAAATCCCCATTCTGTAAAAAAGATATGTTATTTGATTAATTCCATCATTTGCAAAATTTAATAAACCATAAATGCAGTCTTTATTGTATATTTGATATTACTTTCAACGCCATGGAACATATGAGGAATGTAAAGGCTGTGGACCCCTCAGAAGCACCCACCCAATACTAAATATACTAAAAAATGTCAAGTCTGAGGGCTAGTACGATACTTTTAGGTTTGTTTTTGATGCGAATCAAGTGGCTCGTAAATATAAATTTACAAACTAAACAACTAATTAGTAACTGAATGACCAATAAAGAACTGAATTCAAACGGGTTAAGTATAAATCACCTCTAGTGTGATGTAAACGTCGTTGAAACACTAATTTGTATCTCAACAGTAAATAGTTGTGAAGCTTGTTGTGATAATCAAATGCTTGTCAATGTTCAATGATGAGGATTCCTAGAACAAAATGAATCATTTGTTCATTGCTGTTTGTTTCAATGATTTACAAGTTGATTCCAATCCTTGATGAAATATATCATGAAACAGTATTAATATCCGAAAGCTTAAAACACAAGTAAAATAAATTAAGAATAATATGGTTTTTAAGGCTTATTTCATACTTATTTCTATAAGACTTTACATAAATCGAAAACTAGAATTAATCATAACACTTAATAAACATGACAAAACAATTCTAGCTAACTTCTTTTAAAGACGTTATTTGGCTTTATCAGTAACAATATTGATTATCCGTTATAGATATTCAATATCCCAGTTTTCATTTAATTTTCATATTACTGTGAGCGTAGTCACTTCTCAGAGTCGATATTTACTCAGGTTTGATAGTCGATGTATTACTATTATATTGCAAAACTATCATATCACCAACTGCTTTGAAGAAAATCGATAAGGATTTATGATTAATGAGTTTATTTTTCAGATTTTAAAAGACAATGTTCCATCAATACTAGTCTTTTTAATCATCAACTCTTACTAGAAGATTAAACATTATGGGTGGTGTCGACCATTTCAATTATCAATTCTCATTGTTTTAAATTATTATTGTGAATTGTGAAAATCCGTAAAGAATAATATTTAAATAAGTTTCCAAGTTGTTTCCATCATTATATTAGTCTTTATCTAAATCTAATTCGTCAAAAAAGGAAATACATAGAATTAATATCAAAAGTACATGACTTAAATTAGACAAACTTCAATATCTAATTATCATTAATATTGTTTTGGATTTTTGATCCGAATAGCAATTGTTTCAGCCGTCTGCGGGAGTCTCAATCTGATGGAATTAGATAGACTGTTGTTAACACCATATATTATTGCGAAAGATTGTTCCACGTAGGCTGTATGCCCCATCTGTTAACCATTTTAACTACACATTTGCTTAACCACGCTGGGAGGTGCTCACGAGCCCGAATATACAAATTCCTAGAACATCTGCCAATATAACTTGGTCCACAAGAGCAGTTGATTTGATAGATACAGAAAGAAGTTGTTTCATTTTATCCCATTTAATTCAGATGAGATATACAGCCAACATGGCACAATCTTTTGCAATAATAGATGGTGTTAACAGCAGTCCACTTAATTCCGTCAGACTGGGAATCCTACAGACGGCTGAAACAATTACTAATATTTTTATTTTAAAAAAACACTGGAAGGTGAACAAAAAAATACATCCAAATAAATAAATGTAATATTACTTACCATGTAAAGTAAAACTCGTCCGGCTGATTCTGCATACTCATTAATTGTAGATAACACACTGAGAACGAGACAACCAAAGACTGAGGCAAATCTGTGTGATGATAAAAAGAAAATGTAGGGAGAAACAAATTAAGTTCTGCAAAAAAATAAATTTGAAAAAACCTATTGACCAGTTAAAAAAATATTGAAAATAACTTTTTCATTTATCGACAATCAAATGCTCTGAATCACTTATGGTAAGTGTTATGTCTAGAAGGTTGTTTTCTTGATATAGCGCGTATAACCGAGCATTAGAATGCCAAAACCCTTTCAAGTCACAATGAGAAGACAGAAGACTAATGAAAAGAATATTATTCCAAACAGTGTCAATTATATTACAAAATTGTCAGGTATTTATAGTTTTTAGTACGAACGAAATCATCATTACCGTCCTCCAAACCGCATACAGGGGGTTATAAGCATTTGTCCAATCGAGAAGCTACACGTAGGAATTCTAGAATATTCTCCCAAAAAGAGATTGGATGGAATATCTTCGGCTCCTTCTGAGCCTCTTACAGCTTCCTCGAGTTCATCCGTGGTCAGTCGTCACAAAAAGTAATAGACAATGTGACATACTTTTCAATAACTATACGTTACCTGTTGCCATAACAAAAAGGATTATTTTATATGAGATGCTTTTGTTACAATTGATTGATCACTGGGTGGTGACCAATGTCATGTGTGTCAAGTCTTTCTTAGTGCATCGACCAAGATGCAATGTGGCCAACAGTCTAGATGACTCGACATTGCGTGCATTATGTTGAAATTAGATGGCTGTCGGAGGTAGTCAACAGGAAACCCTGGACCTGGGTTTCGTGCTACTTGGCACTCGTCAGAAAGGTGTACCTGTAATCTTGAGGGGACTAGTGCTTCTTGACGGATGCAGATATAAATCTTGTAAATAATTGAAAAATTTGTTTTTTATAACATAAATATGTTGACCCACAATTTAGTTTTCTCACTTAGTTGTGTTTTGAAGTGTAAGTTTTCAGGATTATTATTTTTTTAAATATCCAACTTTTTATTAAAATATTGTAGTGTGTGCTACTGATGCCGACAGATACAAGTAGTATATGTCATCAATCGAAAGTGGAATGCCTGACGGCAAAAGATTAGGAAGATCAAAGAAAAAAGAACGAGAACAGAGAATGATTGATGTGGAAACGAAGGAATAATCAAGTCTGAGACGATTGATTGACATTTTGCAAATGAAATATTTACTTTATGATTTTCAGATTTTACTAAGACATTCTGTAATTGTGTATTTAAATATATTTGGCCGTCTCCACATGTGTTTTCATTCACTACATATTTACATAAAAAATCTAATGAAAATTTAATAGAAATGATAGATATTTTAAAGCGAGAATTTTTGAATCCCAATATGATGATTGTTTACATTAATCTAACCCAGTTTTATTCTTTGTCAATAATTTTGCATTTGTGTTTAAAACTTGTAAAATTATTATCAGAAGCTATTTTCTGGATATTATAGTAATTTCAATAGATGAGATCATGAGTCAATTAAAGCTGGAACTCAATTGACTAATGATCTCAACCATTGAAATTACTATAATATCCACAAAATCCCTTCTGATACTAATCAACATATGCTCATTAGTGACTAGCTTCAAGAGGTATTTCTTGGAGTTCTAGTAAGAAGCAGTGACCAGTGGAGCTCAACCAGGTCTGTTATGAGATAGCAACTAAATGAAGACAATGATGGATGTGTCGTTCAATTTTGTGGATTAGTTGAAGTTAGACATTAACACCGTTGGATGCTGGATGAATGATCTAAAGGTTAAACGTTTGCACACGAGACCGATAGGTCCTGGATTCGATTCTCGCGAGGTAAGATTGTGGATGTGCATTGTAAAATTATTGTTTGAACAATATTGGTAAGAAAAAAATATGCATAAAACATTGTGAAAAATACCAATAAAAGATTTGATCATTCATAAATGAATGAAACAATGGAAAACATGAACTCTTTTATTCCGAAACAGATAATGCTGACTAGAAAGACAGTTAAAAATTTACAATTCAATCATTCATTTAATAAAATGCACAACTACTGAGCATACATTCTTATCGCTAATATACATCATCAAAATATTATATTATATTGACTGTTCTCTATGTTGTTATTTTTCTTTGTTTCTTTCTTACATTAAAACTGTATAGTAGAGTGTACTCCGTTTTTTATGCTGTTTTAATGAGCTATAAGCATAAGTTTAGCCAATTTAAGTGTGTTAACATAGTTAATTTTCATCTTTCCATAACTTGTATAATTGTAAAATAAGTAATGAATTGGTTGTAAAATGCTTATTGTCGCATTTGTTATCCTCAGATTTTTTTACTACTAGGTAATTTTATAATGATTAACTATTAACTGTTAACCTTAAAATGACCTAAATATGTCATATGTTAGTGAACAAATGAATTTTTCACCAAATATAAATTATATTTCAGTTTGACTTATATAGAATGAACTACGACACGAATCAAGGTTATCTGTAATGACTTACTTACGCCTGTTATCCCTCGTCGTTGAGCATAGATCACCCACCTGCATTCTCCATTCAACTCTGTCCTGAGCGTTCCTTTCCATTTGTTTCCAGTTGCTATTCATCCTTTTCATGTCTGTTTCCAATTCTCAGCATAGTGTGTTATTCAGTATTTCACATACACATTTCCCTTAAGGGTTACATGTTAGCGCATGCTTCGTGAAGCAGTTTCATTATTTCCTCCATATGTGCCCTATCTATTTCCAACGTCTTTTTTAATTTCATCTTCAAATGGAAGCTCGTTCGCTCTCTCCCACAGCAGGTTGTTGCTGATGGTATCCTGCCAGTGAACATTGAGTATCTTGTGTAGACAATTGTTTAGAAATACATGCAATATTTTGATGATGGTTGTAGTAGTTGTGCAAGTTTCAGTTCTACATAGTAGAACTGTCATGAAATTTGTATTGAAGATTCTGATTTTGACGATGGCTTGCAGACAGTTGTTTCGAGTTTCATATGTTGTTCAGGCGCAGGAATGGTGTCATTAATTTGCCAATTCCTACCTTCACGCCTTCATCTACTCCTCTTTGTTCATCGATGATGTTGCCCAGGTACGTGAAAGGTTCCACATCTTCTAGAGTTTCTCTATCAAGTATGTTCTCCGTGTTGCATTTCAGGATCTTGCTTTTTCCCTTGTGTATATCAAGGCCTACTGATGCAGAGACTGTTGCTACACTAGTTATCTTCATCTGCATTTGTTCGTGAGTATGGGATGGAAGAGCCAAGTAATCTGCGAAATTCCATTGTATGCCGTGTTTTCCCTCAGATGTCAGGGTCTTCATAATCCAGTCGACCACCAGAAAAAAGAGGAAGAGAGTGAGTAGACAGCCTTGTCTTACTTCGGTCCTTATTTGGAATGCATCTGTCAGCTGTTCTCCATGCACAACTTTGCATTGTATTCCGTCGTATGAATTCTATATGATGTTGACGATTTTCTCATGTACTTCATAGCATCGAAGAGGGTTCCATTATGTACTCCCATTCACGCTATTAAATGCTTTCTCGTAACCAATGGAGTTGATGTATAGTGACGAGTTCTATTCAACTGATTGTTTGACGATTTGGTCTTTGCACGACCGATCCTTATTAAATCCGGCCTGTTGATCTGGAAGTTGGGTGTCTACTACGTCTTTCATCCGGTTCAGCAACACTCTGTTGAAGACTTTCCTTGGTACTGACAGTGGTGTGACGCCTCTGTAGTTCTCACAATTGCTCAGATCTCCTTTCATTGGTATATTGATGAGATATCATTCTTTTCAGTGTGCCGGCACTTGTTCCTTCCCCCCCTCAAATCTGCATGTTCGCAGTTGCTTCTATGTCTGACTTTATTGGTTCAGCTGGTATGTTATCAAGTTGTGCCGCTGCTTCACCGCTATTGATTTGTCTGATGATTGACCATCTTGATTTCTTCGACTATTGACGGAGTGACATCTATAGGAAAGTCTGTCTGTGCTGCATCGACATCCGATGGATTTGATGGAGCTGGTCTATTCAAGAGTTTTTCAAAGTGTCACACCCATCTGTTCTTTTGTCCTTGAATTTCAATGATCGGTATGCCCCATTTGTCCTTGATCGGTCTCTCTAGTTTACTATAATTGTCTACCAGTTTCTTAGTTTTATCATATAACTTCATCATATTTTCTTCAGTTGCACCTTTTTCCTCTGTCATTGCTAGCTCTTCCACATATTTCTGTTTTTCAGCTCTAATACTATTATTCACTTGCTTGTTCATCCATCTTGTTCATAATGTTAGCTCAGAGAAAGCAATTCTACGAAATATATTTCTTACAAGTGAAAAATTTCCCTATCTCTAAAAGAATAAACAATTAATTGTTGTTAATGTCATCTATTTTATTCCTATCCCCTGGAAATTAACGTACATTTTATAATTTATTTTAAACATAAATTTTTTTCTTCATTTTAATATGAACCTTATTTCGATTATCCGTGAAAAGTAACCAAGACAACAGAACGACATATATTAAAGTGAATTTTTTTCATGAACTGATATCTTTATTATAAATAATATTTTACATAGTATAATTTATAAACTTTCTCATATTGCTTCTTTTTTTACTGTCAGTAAAATACAAAAAAAATTATTCATTATACTGTACAGTGATAATTATTCTTCAATGATTTATGTTATACTACTAACATCCAGAATATAAAACATCTTTCTCTTACCCTAGAAATAGAGGTATGATAGTGAATTCGTTATTTTGATCCATGAATAGTAATATGTATTACATTGATAAATTATACCTTGTATAGAATATAATTGATTGATATTGACTACTATTTGCTGATTATTTATTAACATTAGGATACTATTTATATCATTGAGGACAAGTTACTAGTTGAAAATAGAAACTAATATACCAATAACAGATTGATCAATTACTGTCTTAAGCCTCAATAGGAAGATTTAAGCAAAACAATACCAAGTGGAAACATTAATAACATTTCTGATTTATTGAATCTA